TAGAGCAAAGCAGTCGAAGGCGGGGTTATTCCGCCCCTCGTGCACCCGCCCCGTCCAATTGCGATGTTATGAACTATAGTTAATGTATTCATTTTTCGAAAATCTTTTACTTGCTTGCTTCTAAATTTTAACTTCTACTTTATTTCTTCCATAGGTCCTCCAATATGAACCAGATTCATATGCTCGGCTTCTACAAATGAATCAATGTTATGAAGCTATGCCAACTTCAAGTAAAATGGTTATATTTGACACGGAATTGGTGTTATGGAAAGCCTTCAATGGGCTCGTTTACCAAAGTACGTCTTGATTATGTTATTTGTATAATTTTAGTTTCTATTATTCGCCGCTTTTTTTTTCTTAAATTATGTGTTGAATGCTGCGTCGTCCCTCAAACTCAGTAATTTCTTGCACGTTTTTTTCCTCTTCCATGTTTTTCTAGTTCCACCATTTTGCTTGATGCAAATTAAATTTAACCAGGACTAAATTATACCAACCAGCTCTAATTTCCCCACCATCTTCGTGATAGAGTGCCCAAGTGATAACAAAATCGTTCGGTATCTCATTTTGAGTCCTTTTGGTGAGGAATTGCCGCGTGGGCGCGGACGATTCTTCCGTGAAACGATTATTTATACCCTGCATACATAGACCTCTCCGAAAGTCCCGCCCCAGATAGCCACGCCTCCTGCTAAGCAGTCAGCACTAGGGCTGCAATTTCTCGAAATACGAAGCTTTCTAGCGCAAGTACTGGCTACAGCTTCATCGAACTGCTGTTTTCGCATCTTATTCAAGACGTTTCTCAAAGCTGTACTAGCCATCCACTTTTTTCTACGTTGAACGGCATTCATCGCGAGTAGGTGCTCAAAATGATAAAGAATCAGGAATGAGGATTTTCGCCCCAGACTAGACAAAAAAGAAAAAAACCATCTTGTTTTTAATACAGTGACGTGACATCACGGTGTTATAACTACCAGAATAAGACCTTACACGATCCCGAAGTTTATGGGCAGTTGATCTTAGAGGCAAAAAAAGACATCTGCGGAATGGCTGAAGTTTTTAACCACTATCCCAGTGCCCCTTCTTCTTTACATTTCGGCAAAAAAGCCTTCTGTGCCCTTTCATTTGGAAAGAAAATATGTTTTTAGTTTTTTGAATGTTTGCATCAATATGCTAGTATATGACATCGTCCACCTGCCTTTCCATCTGACGCTAATTTGATTCACTCCATATTTTAATGGATATCAACAATCTGGACCAGTGTATCATGTAATCACTCGCTTCACCCGAAGCCTCTGGGATATAAGCCGCATGTTGCAATGTCGCACGCGACAACGCGCGCGAGAAACACTGGGCCACAGCTGCAGCTCTTTTTTATCTTCTTCGCGTGCTCTATCCTCCACATTGATTTTCACCTTTTCACTGAATATTCAGTGCGTGTAGAGAATGTTTGATGTCCTACTGATTCATAGGAAATACCCTATTTTCCGGAGTATAAAGCGTAGCCGTGTATAGTGCTCAGCTTCGCTGCGGACGCCGCAAATGTTTCTTCCTCACTTTACTTTTTCGTGTTTTCCTTTGCTATTTCTTATCCACATTGATACTTTTTATCGATGAGAGGTGCCTGGAACTAAGTGGAAAGTTAAACTATGTAGAAAAGAAAAATATGTAGAAAACAGGAAAATTGTTGCTGTATCTATCAACTCTTCGCGCGTGCCGTCACGTGCGACTCTACGAAATGCGCCTTATACCCCAAAAGATAGAATAATTAACACATGAAACTATCACCCTATCGCATTTTTCTCCGTAGGAAAATTGGCCTTTTTAAGTCCCATTTGCTTCATTTTTCTATTTCACTGAATAGAACCAAATACTTGGCCATGTCTTAAGTGGCTTAAGTGTTTGCTTAAATCTTCCTGTTCTTTGAGTATCATTTGATTATTTTTATTGAAAATTTGATTCACTAAAATCAGTGATCGCTATCGTTGTGGTTATGAGTGTTGGACATGTTTTTTACTACAAAGTGAGACAGAATGCCTACTGCATATTGTTGCGTTCTTTACTATGAATAAGGACTACCATCACCTCGACCATTGTCAGTTTTCTTGCCATTTAACGTTTTTTTTTTCATAAGAGATCAATTGGTGTGTTGACGTGATAGTGATGAGAACATCGCTGTACAACTTTATCCCTAGACATGAAGCTTTAGCTCACTTTGTGCTCTTCAGGAGCAATGGATTCGATGTTTTCGTTTAAATTTCAGTGTTTCATATGGATGATATATGTGAGAGCAGCTCACCGGGTAAACAAACGTGAACGCTTCTTTAAGTCGGGCGCTCTGGAACGTGGTCCATTGGCGTGATCGATTTTTCTCAAAGTAAAGGTGTACTTCTGGTTGCATCGCGGAAAATCGGGCTTGTTGTGATAGCCTTGGGAATAATGCGGGCTTCTCCTGGTCCTTGAGTGCAAACAAATAATAAATGTGTCATGAGCTTGGGGTAGGTGCTACAAGTGCTACAACCCTACTGATTGCTGACTTCCAAGCTTAGTGATAAGACCGTCTTTGAGCGACTTTGGGTGAGGAATTTATCTCTGAACACACTAGTTCCTGGCTCCTAGCTCCCTTGTCACGCACTGTAATTAAAATGGACAGTATTCTGTGCGGCTGCGTTTCTGCGCTACGTACGAATGTTTTCACTGCTGAGGATGGGGCGTGTCAGGGTTGATGGTTTGACATAGAAGCCGCCCGT